ATACCTCTACAACAAAAAGATAAATAATCCAATTAAAAAATGGGCAAAGGATATGAACAGACACTTCCCCAAAGAAGACATTCAGGCAGTTAACAAACATATGAGGAATGCTTGTGATCATTAGCCATTAGAGAAATGAAAATCAAAACTACAATGAGATACCATCTCACCCCAACAGTAGTGGCATGAATAAAAAAAATGGAAAATAACAAATGTTGGAGTGGCTACGGGGAGATTAGAATGCTTATGCACTGCTAGTGGGAATTCAAAATGGTACAACCATTTTGGAAAACGATATGGTGCTTCCTTAAAAATGTAGAAGTAGAAATACCATGTGATCTGGCAATCTCACTCCTAGAAATATATTCTAGAGAAATAAGAACCATCACAAAAATAGACATATGCACACCCATGTCCCTTGCAGCATTATTCACAATAGCAAAAAGATGGAAACAACCTAAGTGCCCATCAACAGATGAATGGATAAACAAACTATGGTACATACACACAATGGAATACTACACAGTGATAAAGAACAATGATTAATCTGTGAGACATCTCACAGTATGGATGAATCTGGAGGTCATTATGCTCAGTGAAATAAGTCAATCACAAAAGGACAAATACTGTATGAGACCACTATTATAAAAACTCATGAAAAGTTTATACACAGAAAGAAATAATCTTTGATGGTTACAAGGGAGGGGAGGGGCAGGGAGGGAAAAACACTAAGTAGACGATAGACAAGTGATAACTTTGGTGAAGGATAAGACAGTACACAATACTGGAAAAGTCAGCACAACTGGACCAAGGCAAAGTCATAGAAGTTCATAGACACATCCAAACTTCCTGAGGGACTGAATTACTGGGTTGAGGGCTGGGGACCTTGGTCTCGGGGGATATATAGTTCAATTGGCATAACAAAGTTTATTTTAAAAAAGTTCCACATCCTACTTTTGTGAGTAGCGTCTTGGGTCTTAAAAGCCTGTATGTAAGCAGCCATCTAAGATACTCTACTGGTCCCACCTGGTCTGGAGCAAGGGAGAATGAAGAAAAACAAAAACACGAGGGAAAGATTAGTCCAAAGGACTAATGGACCACAACTACCACAGCCTCCACGAGACTAAGTCCAGCACAACTAGATGGTATCCAGCTACCACCAACTGCTCTGACAGGGATCACGATAGACTGTCCCAGACAGAGCTGGAGAAAAATATGGAACAAAATTCTAACTCACAAAAAAAGGGCAGACTTACTGATATGACAGAGACTGGAGAAACACTGGGAGTATGGCATCCGGGCCCCCTTTTAATTCAGTACTGAAGTCACTCCTGAGGTTCAACCTTCAGCCAAAGATTAGACAGGCCCATAAAACAAACAAATAATACATGTAGCTCAACCATGTATATGAGACTAAATGGGCACACCAGCCCAGGGGCAAGGACGATAAGGCAGGATAGGCAGGAAAGCTGGACAAATGGAAATGGGGAACCCAAGGTCGAGAAAAGGAAAAGTGTTGACACATTGTGGGGTTGGTAACCAATGTCACAAAACAATATGTGTATTGTTTAATGAGAAACTGATTTGCTCTGTAAACCATCTAAAGTACAATAATAAAAATAAATAAAGATTTAACAATGAAAAAAAATTAAAACTTTATTTCATCAAAAGATATTACCAACATTGAAGGGAAATTTCACAACATAATAAAGGGCATTTATGCAAAACCAAACAGCCAACATCATTCTAAATGGAGAGAAGCTGAGAACATTCCCCTTGAGAACAGGAACGAGACAAGGATGTCCTTTATCACCACTCCTATTTAACATTGTGCTGGAAGTCCTAGCTAGAGCAATAAGGCAAGAAAAAGAAATAAACGGCAACCAAGTTGGTAATGAAGAAGTTAAACTGTCCCTGTTTGCAGATGATATGATACTATATATGGAAAACCCAAAAGACTCCACGAGAAAACTACTGGAACTAATACAAAGATTCAGCTGAGTAGCAGGATACAAGATAAACATAAAAAAATCATTTGGATTCCTATACACCAACAAAGAGAACAACGAAAGGCAATCAGGAAAGCAATACCATTTATAATAGCCCCTAAAAAAAATAAAATACTTAGGAATAAATCTAACCAGGGATGTAAAAGAACTATACAAAGAGAAATACAGAACACTACAACAAGAAACCAAAAGAGATCTACATAAATTGAAAAACATACCATGCTCGTGGATAGGTAGACTCAACATTGTGAAAATGACAATTCTACCCAAAGCAATCTACAAATACAATGCAAGCCCAATCTAAATACTAACAATATTCTTTAAAGAGATGGAAAAAATAATAGTTAACTTTATATGGAAAGGGAAGAGGCCCTGGATAAGTAAAGCACTATGGAAGAGGAAGAATAAAGCAGGAGGACTCGTACTACCTGACCTCAGAACCTACTATACAGCTATGGTAGTCAAAACAGCCTGGTACTGGTACAATGACAGATACATTGACCAATGGAACAGAATCGAGAGCCCAAAAGTAAATCTATCCACCTATGGTCACCTGATCTTCGACAAGAGCCCAAAGTCCATCATATGGCAAACAGACAGTCTTTCTAACAAACAGTGCTGGCAAAATTGGATGTCCATCTGCAAAAACATGAAACAGTACCCATACCTCGCACCATACACAAAAACTAATTCAAAATGGATCAAAGACTTAAGTCTAAAACCAAAAACTATAAAGATCATAGAAGAAAAAATAGAACAATGCTAGAGACCCTAATACACAGCATTAAAAGGATACAAACCATAACCAACAACACACAAATTCCAGAAGATAAGCTAGATAACCGGGATCTTCTAAAAATTAAACACTTATGCTCATGAAAAGACTTCACGAAAAGAGTAAAAAGAGAACCTACAGACTGAGAAAAAATTTTGCTATTACAAATCTGACAAAGGTCTAATTTCTATAATCTGCAGGAAAATCCAACACCTCTACCACAAAAAGACAAATAATCCAATTAAAAAATGGGCAGAGGAAATGAACAGGCACTTTACCAAAGAAGACATTCAAGCGACTAACAGACACATAAGGAAATGCTCACAATCACTAGCCATTAGGGAAATGCAAATCAAAACCACAATGAGATACCATCTCACCC